AGTTCTGCCTACTGCTAATTGAACATCGAGTTACAATTTGGGCGTGGTTTCTCAAAAGTAGGCGTGGTTTCTAAAAATATGGGCGTGGTCATTTGTGTAACTCAATGTTTTCGTAACTCGATGTCCGTAACCCGAACAATTCAATATTACTTCGTAATGTTTCTGTAACTCGTATTGCTAACGTGTTATCATTCAATTATTCAGGCAATTGATAATATGAGAGCGGAATATTCCCAATGGGTTCAGAAACGGCAGAAAGCTAAATCGAAGACGAAGAACAAGAAGAGAGACACAGTGGAAGAGCCGCAGCCAGACGAATTGAATGTAAGTTATTAACAGCTATTGTGTTTCCACAATAACAGTTGATATTTTGTTACCAAGTATTGACACCAGCTTGATTATGATTCACAAACATCTCACAATACAATTTCTCTTTATTCTTACACAGCTTGAATTTATGAAGCTTGATCTCACGTCCCTGAAGTCAACGACGGATTTTGTACACAATTACAAATCTCGTGGATATTCACTGAATGTTCTCGTATGTAACGCTGGTATAGCGCTACCCCCAAAAGGTAATGTTTGGGCTCATTAATATACACTAGGTTTTTTTGCAAAAACAAATCTATACATATAGACGTTAAAGGAGGACGTGGATCCAGTATCGAAATTCGTGTAAACAGACAGTGTACTTTATAAGTGTTGAATATGTCGCGTGAGACCCACGTCGAACGCGATGAGGTGCGACGATTGTGGCGCTTATAACAGTTTTACACAATTGTAATTGATGAATAACAGACATTTCTTAGATTACTGGAATATTATTTAAAATCAATAAAGGTTTTGTTGAAGTTTGCTTCAAGGATTGCATTAAACCTCATATTCTGCGTTTTTGACACTCAACATTAGTAGAAGTGGTTTCATAACTCCCAAACAAACAGAATAAATTACTAAGTCTTCTTAGCTGTATTGTTGGTGCTCGCTACATAATAAATGTTGACGAAATCCCTGTCTGTTCATATATTGTCAACATGACATAGATTCGTGTAAGCAATGTCGCCAAACAAGTACTCTGTTGATAGAGGGCGCTATTGGTGAGAACAGTATATTGCACGATGTGTTTTGGTTTGTTAACAGAATTAACAGAAGATGGGTTTGAAAAACAGTTCCAAGTGAATTATTTGAGTCATTTCTTACTGACGCTTCAATTATTACCACTTTTGAAGTCATCATCACCCGGAAGTAGAATTATCAACGTGTCGTCCGTGGGCCATGCCAGGGGAGAGTTGAACTTAGAAAATATTCAAGCTCAATTATCTTACAGCAGAATACCATTTTATGGGAACTCAAAATTATATCAGGTGCGCTGACGGTTGAAATAGCTATAGCTTTCCATGGGTACATGGTTAATAGAATTTTCATTCATAAGTTCAGTGATACATTGGTGAAAATATGTTTAATTAGTTTTGTTGTGAGATGCTGAATTGTTCGAGTTGCGGACATCTAGTTACAAAAATAACCACGCCCATGTTCTAGAAACCATGCCCACTTTTTTGAAACCACGCTCAAATTGTAACTCAACGTTCAACTAACAGTTAACTACACTTCGAGTTACGGGCAATTGTTTTGTAACTCTATGTCCATAACACGAACAATTCAGCATCTCGTTGGTTTTCCAAATGTAACTAATTATAATTAATAAATCATCACATTAATATTAGTGACCTTTTCGTTCAATTACGATAGTTGTCGTTAGCTGTCCGTCGTTTATCGTTCACTGACAATCATGCACATAAGTTCGATAGTTATCGACTGCTTTCAATTGTTTGCTATCATATTATTGCACATTAAGGTAGAGATGCAGTTTACCTGACAGGTATTTTAATTACTAGTAGTTAATTAGGAAACCAAGATGACCTCCCTTGTCCACAAAACTATATATTTACGGAAAGCTTATTGTATGAATTTTAAAATTTTGTTAGTATTTTTTGTATGAACACTGTAGTTTTGAAATATGCACAAAAATGTGCTTTTTTGGTCAAAAGTGATTTGATTTAAAAAAAAAATAGCTTCTAAGCCATGCTTCTGTTCCCTGTCAAAATTGGTTATGGGTACATATGTTTACTATGAAGAAAGCGCCGTCTTGAAAAATGTCTACCAGTTGTCAATTTTGTAGGGCAGCAGCTCCAATTTCACTACTTAAAGTTTATGCATAAATTAACACCCAGGCTAGTTGTCTGTACGATTGCTGTAACACTATTCAACTAAAAACAATGCCCCGACGGCGTTTTGAAGATAAACACATTGTCAATCATTTGTGAAAATGTTGAAACAAAAGGTCAAAGCGTCTAGAAGCTAGTTCTGAGATGTGCACTAAAAAGAAGCTGAGTTAATTGCTAATTTGCATAACAATTCACTCAGTAAGAAGTTTGCCAATGCTCATAATTAAAATGGCTGTAACAGTTCCAAATTTAAATGTATTATCGTTTTGTAAAAAGTTAAATATAGTGCATACTATAGAGATCCCGTCATTACTTTTTTCACCATGTTTCTTTTTGACTCCCGTGTGCGAAACACACAATGGGAGTCTTTGCAGTTAGTTTGTCTGTATGTGTGTGGGGGGGGGGGGTGTATGTGTGTATGTGTGTCCGTCTGTTCCACTGATATCTCAAGAACCATACATTGATTTTTTATGAAACTTGCGCAGATTTAATTAGGTTTTGGTAAAAATCCACGCATAATAATTACCTAATTCGCATGATAATTAGCTGATTTTTAGCTGTTCCATGACTGTTCCACTGATATCTAAAGAACCACTCATTGGATTTTGATGAAACTTAGCACATAGATGCTCTAAGCTAATGCGCAGATTTGATTACTTTTGGGCAATTACCTAATTTGCATAATGATTAATCTATTTTCGGCTTTTCCGCTGATATCTCAAGTATGAATGTTCCACTGATATATAAAGAACCACGAATTGGATTTTAATGGCACTTTTAAAGAGTACTCATCACATTTCAATGAATCTAGAGCTATGCAGAGACCCAATTAGTTTTTGGTAAATATTTATGCTTATCAATCACCTAGTTAACATAATTAATTAAAACTGATATCTCAATCACTGATCATCACATTTGAATAAATTTGGTACATAAATGCTCTAGGACAATAGACAGGCCTGATTAATTTTGGGTTAAAATTTGTTCATAATAATTCTCCAGTTAGCATAATAATTCATAATTTTCTTGTTCTGTTCTGCTCTGTTCATATTAGTTACCTGATTCACATAATTAGTTTTCAGTTTTTCCATCAATATCTCATGTACAAGTAATTTTGAATTAATTTTTAATGTGTCTTCAATACTCTCAGCACACGGGAGTTCTTTCTAAGCTTTCTTTGATTTATTATTTATGTACAGGCTTGCTAAATCCAGCTAAGCATTCAAAAGAGAGAATGTTTGCACCTGTTATCTATATTTTAAAATCGTCTTTTGAGTATGTTCCACTATTCACAATTCTACAAAATTTTAACAGTCTATAGCCAAGACTGTTCGAATAATGAAAAGCAAAAAACAAATTCATCCAAGTGCCCACGAACCTGCATTTCTACCTTAAAACACGCTAAACGCAACGCAACATCTGTGACATTGGTACATATGTTACACGCAATACAGGCATATTTGCATATTCGTGACGTACAACAGTTCATTGATTGCAAAAGACCAATGACAGGAGTGTTTGCTTATCATATAGATCATGTCGATGTTTTCCTTCCAAAGAAGACTGGAAGGATCTGGAGTCAATGTAACGTCATTACATCCCGGTGTTGTAAATACTGAAATCGATAAGACCTATCAAGACTATTGGATGAAAAATGTATGGGGCTTTTTTAGACGCACTGGTAAGGTCTCGTGATTGAATGCGCCTTACTTATAAAAACTAATTTTGACCACAAATTTGAATTTAAAGTATTCACCTACCATTTAAAGCACATAATCAGCTTCGAATACTTCTACAATTGGGTTTTATTTTATTCACAAACAATCTAATGAATGTGAATCTATAATTTTGTGAATTAATGCTTTAACATCGATTTTTTTGAAAATTGTTATTATTTTTTTTGCAAAAATATTAAATTACCGCAAACTTGGTGATATGTATTCTAATTAGTAGTAATGCAATGTCTTTGATTATTTGTTTTTGTTCTTATTTTTAATAAAATGACGTTATTTGATGTAACATTTTAAATACATATGCAATTGTACTTAAGGGGTCCATCACCATTATTCATAATGAGTGTTGTGTTAGTAGCTGGAACAAGTTTTCAACACATACATAGCATATTAACAATTCTATATTTGTGGACTTTCTTAATACCCCGTATGTCATGTTGTAATATCAGTTTGTTTGTATGTAAAAAATATTTGATGTATATGAATTACCCTGGGACAAGTGTAACTAATCTATTGTTCAACCAATCAATCGCAGGCATGTTAATAGACGTGGAAAAAGGCGCTGCAACATCAATTGACCTGGCAGTGAATCCTGAATACAATGACGTCACTGGAGTATATTTTTCTGAGTGCAAGAGAACAACGCCATCTTCATTATCCAGGTAACAAACCGCGATACAGAACAGTCAGAACGTTTGCCATATCAATTTTCTAAAACTCTGGTTTCATAACCATTCAGACATTGGACATTTTCTGGCATAGACTATCACTTTTTGTTATTTGTGTACATTAGTATCGTTTTTAAATTGATAGTTTGATGTTTCGCACATTTACTATTATAAAAACCATGCTGAATAATTTAAAAAAAAAACATTGAAATTCGACAAAAGTCATTCTTATGAATTTTATAGGCATAGTAGTAGGTATAACCCGTTAATACCGATTTCTAATCGGGAATATACGCCTTATAGTTCGACTCAAAGCAACCAATCGCTAAGCAATTGTTCAGTCGGAGAGATGATATTAGAACCGAATGAATGACTGTACTAGTATATCCATATATCAATGGGTTATTATGGGCCAATAAAAATAATATAATATAGGTTCTTTTCGAAAATCATTGGATATCAAAAAACAAGTTTGAACGCTGTTTGTAGTACTTATTTAGCTTTGAGGTTATCACGTGTTTATTATGAATCAATTCTGAATTTATGATTACAGTTGCATCACAAATTAATCTCGATGTCGTTAATCTATTCTTATTATTTTTAGGAACGTTGAGAAGCAAGAAATCCTTTGGAAATACAGTTTGGAATGTCTCAAAGATTATCTAGACGATAATATCTTGGAACAAATAGGAGAAGATCGCAAAGAAGTGAAAGATGTTGGCGAAAATGACAATATATAAGATAACAGTGTTAATATTCAATACTTAATCACGTCATAGACACATAATTATACAAATCACACGTCCAAAAAACAATGTTACCGGTATGAGTAACCATGACAGGCGTGTTCATAGTTAATGGTAGAATTTGTGCTGGAAATAATATATTATGAGGATTTCGCGGGAATACTTCAGTGGAGGTATTTGACCTACATAATTAATTTTTGGTCAAATCAGTTAGTTTTGCTTGGAAGATAACAACAATGTTGACAAAGTGAACAATAAAAAGCGTAAGCTTGGACAAATACCCTTAAGAAGATGACTGTGAATGTCGTCGCACTGCATGTACTTATTACCTGGAGTAACACCAGTGTCGACGATCGTCTTCATTGACATGCCGACCTGAGATGGGAATGATTATTATGCATGTTTAGTTACAGATCTACAATAGATGCACAAGTAAATGTAGTATTGATATAATTGGATAACATCTGTTTGTGGAATAATCCGAGTGCCTGTTACAGAAAGCAACGATGTAATTACAGAAAGAAACTGAGAACACGTTACTGATATGATAACGTGAATATTTTGCCGTTTATTCATGTAGTTTCGTATAATATACTATATATTGGTGTGATCATAGACCTTAGAATCTCATCTCATAATATACTATATATGATGTAATGTCCATTGTTGTTTCAAAGTATGCAAAATGTCGCTTCATTTTCTTTGTGTTGAATGCGTCAATATATATTGTTCTATGAATAAATATTCAACATTAAATATGATACGAGGTTGTTTCGTCATTCAAAATAATTTAACTCAATGTAGTAATTAGCTGAATGATAAAAAAATATGTACCATAAATACTATATAGTTTCAATATAATATGTGCTGGCTAAAATAGAAATGTTTACCGAGACTTGGTGCAAAAACAGAGTGACCACTGGTATAGATAGATGCACATTGATAAGGTATTTTCTTATACCCCGTATGTCATTTTGTAATATGAGTTTGTTTGCATGTAAATTATTTGATGTATTTGAATTACCCTGGGATAAGTGTAACTTACCTAATCTATTGTTCAACCAATCCCATGCTTGTTAATAGACGTAGAGAAAGAGAAATAAGTAAACAATCTATTTATCAAATTCCTGTTATATATATGTTTATAATCTCCACTCTAAATATGCAAGTTGTTGATTCTAAGCAATAGTCTAATAGCGTGGGATTGGAATGTGCGAACGCATAGTCACTATCATAACACCTAATTCTAGCGATCCATATATTGCAGCTTGTCACCTGGAGTTCTACCGATAGCACCGTATCTCACAGTAACCATGGGTAACAAATATCTTATCCGCGGGTCGATATGTCGGCGAAGACGGTCATCGTCACTGGTGCAACTGCAGGTAAATAAATGAGTATGCGACAGAGGCCACGGGATTCGGTAGTGTATAATTTTCAGAACTCAGAACCTCAGAATTGTTATAATTTGCATATTTTTGGGAGGGCGTGGTCATTACTGTCAGAAGCACATCTACTCGTTTCAAAGTGTGATTCTATCGCATATGAACTAAATTGGTCCAATGGTTGAGATCAAAGGAAATAACTGCGATTTGCATATTTTTGGGTTTGGGTGTGTTATTGATAATAACAATCTAAAAGATGACTACCGGTGATAAGAAACCTATTTTGAAATTGGATTTTGAGAAGTTGGTTCTGAAAAGTTGGTTCTGAAAAGTTGGTTCTGAGTTCTGAAAAGTATACATTACCCACGGGATTCGTGTATAGATAAACAAATGACATTGCGTACTGCCTTGCTTTTCGCGTGTATTGTCTGTTATTTAGTCTACCATTTTGCTGTCGTTCAATTTCCAATCAGCATGTAACCAAATCGTCTACTGCAGTATGATATTTCGTCAGAATTATTTTTTCAAACTGACTGGTCTTTGATTTTGAATTACGCAGCTTTGTTTTGCTACTGACTGATATTTTACCAACTATTCAAACAGGTATCGGCTATGTCACGGCAAAACATATAAGCATGATGGATGCAAAGATCATCCTTGCTTGCAGAGCCGAAGATAAAGCGACACAGGTAAACAGTGTTTGTCGCCGTGGATATTCACTAAGCTGAGGGATTCGTATTGAATCATGAATACTATTTTTATTAAGTGTATGAGTAAATACCATAAGTTGTTTGTGTTGTTCAAGATTTGGCTTGTGTAATTCTTTCCAGTCACTGTGGGGGTCGTGTTTACTTAGGTATAGTTGCAGTGGCAAAGCGCTGCGCCGTGTGCACGAATTGGTACCCCCTGTTGCGTGTTATTATGCTAATGTTCGTTATTGTACGTCAGTTCCTTATAACTGAAATTAAACAATTTGTAGAATGTAACTGTATAATCCCAACAAAGGGGCGTAAGCATATACTGACAAGACACGAATGGGCAAGTTTTGTGGATGCAAAGATCGTTTCCTCCATAGGATCAATTTCCTCCGCAATGGGACGCCAGATCCGATTTTTTTTATGTGTGAAATTGCGTATTGCCATGCTATCAGAGGCCAATAACACATTTGTGCGAATTTTTATTTATCGATGATTACATACTGACAAATCGCGTTATCTATGAGGGACAAAATGTTTATTTAACAAGCCATGCATGGCACAGTCCCCGTTAGTTATCAAATTTAAGATATATAGTTTTTGTTTATAGTATTATATTTGGAGCATAACCATGCCAGAGATATGGATCCAGAGGCTGACACTTGATTATATTTTTTTAACATAAAAATGACTGGCATTCAGTCATCTTGTATGTATGTACCAAGTTTCAACAAAATCCATCTGTAAACAACCAAGATCTGGCTCCTCAGTGCCAAAAATCCTTGATTTTGATGATTTTTAGCACACAAATGGCCGCCTTTTAGCCATCAGATTGTGAAACAAATTGATTGTGTATATGTATAGTATTATGGTTGATGTGTGTGTGAAGTTTGAATGTAAACAGTTAAGGCATGTCTATGATAAGGCCCAAACGCACGCACATACACACGGACCCACGCACAGAGATCAATCCTTGAATCCTGCGCCCCAACGAGACGAACAAGCCATATGTTCAGAAGGTTTTGATTTCTTTTCGTTACGAAAAGCCCAAGAATGGGTAATGGTTTCATTATTGGTCGTTTTTTATATGTGTGAGAAAATCTATATTTTGTTTGAGACGCCAGGAATTCGTATTGCATATGCCCATCTAGTCTCTGTGAGTCCACGTGGTCGTTAGTTCGAATCTCATGTTGTGTTTTTATATGTTCATAATGTGCCTGTAATCTGTATTGCTAACGTGTGATCATTCAATTATTCAGGCAATTGTCAATATGAGAGCGGAATATTCCCAATGGGTTCAGAAACGGCAGAAAGCTAAATCGAAAACGAAGACTAAGGAGAGAGACACAGTGGAAGAGCCGCAGCCAGACGAATTAAATGTAAGTTATACACGTGTTCATGAGCTGGAATATATAGCTATTGTGTTTTCCAACGAATAGGTGATTTGACACCAGCCTGTTATATGATTGACAAACATCTCACGATAAACTTCTTCTATATAACACAGCTGGAATTTATGAAGCTTGATCTCACGTCCCTGAAGTCAACGATGGATTTTGTACGCAATTACAAATCTCGTGGATATAACTTAAATGTTCTTGTATGTAATGCTGGTATAGCATTACCACCAAAAGGTAATTTTTTGCAGTGGTATTAACTAGATTTTTAACTAGTTTAAACTAGATTTACGAGTTTATTAATATTATAAGTACAAGGTTTTTCACAAAAATAAGACCACATAGGTGACATAGGAGGGCGTAGCTCCAGTATCGAATTCCATGTAAACAGACAACGTATTTTACACGTGTGGTATACGTCGCCTGAGACACACGTCGAACACGACGAGGCGCGATGATTGTGCCGCTTATAACAGTTTTACACAATTGTAATTGTAAAATATTTTAGGCAAATCTGCAAGGTGTTAGAAAGTGTTCACAGAAACGCTAGCTAAATGTAATTCTTGTCCAAGCACGTACAGTTTTCTTATTCGTAGATTAATGGAATGATATTTACAAATATACAGGTTTTGTTGAGGTTTGCGTTTTTGACATTATTAGAAATGGTTTCATAAATTATTATTCTGAGCTGTATTGTTGGAATTTACTACAAAATGACTGCTGAGACAATCCTTGCTTAATAGAGGACGCTTTTGATGAGAACAATGCATTGCACAATGTATTTTTTTTGTTTTTAACAGAATTAACAGAAGATGGGTTTGAAAAACAGTTCCAAGTGAATTATTTGAGCCATTTCTTACTGACGCTTCAATTATTGCCACTTTTGAAGTCATCATAACCCGGAAGTAGAATTATAAACTTGTCGTCGTCTGTGGCCCATGCCAGGGGAGAGTTGAACTTAGAAAATATTCAAGCTCAATTATCTTACAGTAGAATACAATGTTATTCGAACTTAAAATTGTATCAGGTGCGCTGACGGTTGAAATTATGTTAGCTGTATATGGGCACAGGGTTAATAGAATTTTCATTCAAAAGTGAAAAGATACATTGGTGAAAACATTTATATGTTATTTGATAAGATATGTTGAAGACCAGTTCAAGCTATGATTAATCATGAATTAAACTCGTTGTTCCTGTAGCCCACTAATGAAATGAATATGCCTGTTCGAGTTCGAGTTTACGGACATCTAGTTACGAACATCGAGTTACCAAAATAACCACGCCCATGTTCTAGAAACCATGCCCACTTTTGTGAAACCACGCTCAAATTATAACTCAATGTTCAACTAACAGTTAACAAAACTTACGGGCAACATGAACTGTTTCGTAACTCGATGTCCGTAACTCGAACAATTCTGCATCTCGTTGGTTTTCCAAATTAAACTACAATAATAATTTATCACATTACGTAATGCTTAGAGATCTTGTCGTTCAAATACGATAATTGTCGAGTTGTCGTTAGCTGTATTCGTTCATCGTTCATTGATTGCCAATGACCAATGACAGGAGAGTTTGCTTATTCTGTTGATCATGTCAATGTTTTCTCTCCAAAGAAGACTGGAAGGATCTGGAGTCAATGTGACGTCATCACATCCTGGTGGTGTTACGTTAATACTGAAATCGATAGAAACTTTCAAGACTATTGGATAAACAATTTGTGGCTTTTTCTTAAACGCACTGGTAAGGTCTCGTCGATTCGAATGCACCTTTCTTATATAGACTAATTTCGGCTACAAATTTGCAGATGTACAAATGTAGTAGAGTTTGGCTACCATTTTAAAGCGCGGTAGTCGTCCGCTGCCATGTGCGACATTTGTGTTGATAAACATTGACTTTCCCACAATCCATGCGCTCTTCAAATGGAAATCACAAGTATGAGTTTGACCTGGGCGCGACTTGCACTGATTAACGCCGGTGACTCCTTCATACATTTC